ACTTTCCTTCTAAATTCCACTGAACCTTTGAGCAGAAGAATAGGAATATCTACCTGCAGGCTTAACAGCAAATAGTTAAAACTAAGAACAATATGAGCTAAAAACTTTCTTTTTAATGGAAGTGCAAGTTTAAGCAGAATGGTGATCAATAATCCTGTGGGTGTTTTTTTAATTCAAACTAATCATGCAGATTCCTTTCCCTTTGTACTACAGGAACACTAAACTGTAAAATGCCTTTCAGATGGAAAAACATTTCTATTAGAACCTCCACATACCTGTAAAGTGACTAGAAGAGTTTAGTCTAGTTAGTGTGTTGCAACACGCAAAGGCAAAGTGCACAAGCTTCTGAACTCAGAATGTGTCAGTTAGGTGGAAATGCCGGCTTGCAAGCAAATCCATACGCAAAAGAAATTTACCGATCATGTAGGATGTTTACTACAAAACAAACAAACAAAACTCCCCAAACTCTGAAAGCTAATTATTGCCTTTCACTATGGAAAGCTGGGCAGCTTGGTGTAGTTTTCGCAAGACCTTAACATCTAACATTTGTGTTACAGGCATACTTGTTAAAAATGGCAAAGAAATGAGGCCTCAGGAACTTAAAACACACAAAATCCATTTGCTTTTTGTCATTTTATGCTTCACTTACAAAAATACAAGGCTGTTACCTACTTAACTCCTGTGTTTACTACCTCCATGAAAATCAGAATGTGAATGATTTTATATTTCTGTAAACAGCCTGTGTACCAGTAATTATCTATTTGAAGGGTAATGCATCCTTTCAATACCATTTGGGCTGACTCTCAAAGCATCTGCTGAAAAAAAGTCCCATCCAGGCATGCTCAAGAGAACAACTCCATGGTCTGCCCGGGGCCAGGAGACAGCCTGTGCCGACCCGGGGCCAGACAACCAAACCACCTTGTTAGCTGGCTGGGGGCTGAGAGGTCCCGTCGGGGAGCCAGCTGCCCAGGCAGACTCAAGCTCCTCTTGCTGCTGCTGTTCAGCCACCCGTGGGCCAAAGGAAGAGGCGGCAGAGGATACGGCATTATGAAGGGTTACAGCCTCCTGAAAAGAAGGCGTAGACCGAGGAGAGGCTGCAGAAAGAGAGGTGGAGTGAAGGCACAGGAGCAGGAAAGTAATGTTTCTTTGGACTTGCATTGATAAATGGGACTTTCTAAAAAGACGTCTCACTAATTCACATCAAACACGTAACCAAAACTTCACAAAGTAGGGTCATTATCCATAACAAGGAAGACAAGTAGCTCAGCCAAATTTTCAGTGTGATAAAAACCAACTTCAAGCCTTTTCTATACACCATGTGTTACAAAGACACAGGGCAGTCTTAATACTGGGCTACACGTCACAGGCTCATCCCTGCAAGATACAGGAAAACATCAAAACGCCAGAGTAACTTTTAGCCTACCCACTACCTGAAACTCTTGTATTTTTATTAAAGATTTTCAGTTTAAAAAAGGACAAAATTAAAATTGCTTCAGTTTACAGAAATCTGCTTGGACTGAAGCACACCATTCTCTTTTCTGACCTGAACCAAATTGCGAAGCTTTATCCAACTCACATGTGCTGAGCCAGCATTTTCTCCAAAGAAACTCTTATTCTTCCCTTGTTCCTGCCCTCCACACAAACAGTCAGACAGCCATGCACCAAGCCCAGGAAAAAAACAAAACAAAAAAACCACCAAAAAACCCCAAACAGTCAGTTTTAAACACAGAAAGGCTCCTTGGTTCAGTTTGTCTTGTAACCACACAAACCATCCTCAATGCAAAGGAAGACGGGTGAGCAAGCAACAAGGCTACTAGTTTCCCAGCTCATAACACATCAAAAATTACACACTGAGAACAAGGCCATACCAAGTCCCAAGTAGGACTGAACCTTTCAAAGTAGAAATAAGCTTTACAGTTCATTGTGTCTACTTTTTAACCCTAACTGAAGCTGCATGTCTCACGATGAGATGCCTGTACATAGGGATTTCTAGTTCTACAGATTTATTTCATTTTCACAAAATATTTTGAAAAAGAAAGTGACAGAAGATTACATACATCCCCCCCTCTTAAGTGGCAGAAGTTTACAGAGCCATAAGAGTGCTGTTACTCCAAAAGGACTACAGTACTCATCTTAATTCTGATCTCTGGAAGGATCCAAAATAGTAGTCTAAGCCTCTTTGAAAGAAAATGTAAGATTTTTAGACAAAACTTACTTTTTTGAGAGAAAACAATATAATGCTTGACCCACACAACAGAATCTTCTAAATAAATCCACTGAAGTTGCTCACTAGCGTAATTCTGTCATTTTCAATTCACCCCAAGTCCTTAGAAACACAAGGTTCCTCCAACACTGCATCAAAGCTGAAACGCATTCCTTAAGACGCAACTGAATTGCACACACTTTGGTGGTATTTGGACTGTATGCTACCTTAATCTCATTCTAAAAACCACGTTTATTGCCTGAGTTCCACTGCAGTTTCTTTCATCCGTATGCCGGTTGCCCTCCAGAAAAATCGATTGTCAAACTTTAACAAGAGTTAGCTGCAAGTTAAACTTCGGAAAGACTTCAAAACCTTCATCCTTCTCCACCTCCTCCTTTGAAAGCCATCTTCCCCACCGACCAAGAAGCCCGGTTACTGTCTACCGCTAAAATTTCAGTTTCAAAAAAAAAAAAAGAAAGAAAAAAGAAGAGCAAGGGAGGACGGTCCAGCAGAGCGGCTGCAGACAGCAAGCCGATGAATGAAGCGGCCACTGGGGTATCTTCACGGAG